GTGCTCTGCCCAATCCACAAGAAAGGTGACCCCGCCATTCGCGCCAACTACCGCGGGATCAGCCTTCTAAGCATAGGTTACAAGGTCTTATCGAGCGTATTGTGTGAAAGACTGAAGCCCACCGTCAACGAACTGATTGGGCCTTATCAGTGTGGATTTAGACCTGGAAAATCCACCATAGACCAGGTATTCACAATATGCCAAATCTTGGAAAAGAATCGCGAGAAAAGGATCGACACTCACCACTTATTTGTCGAATTTAAAGCCGCTTTGGAGAGCACTAAAACGAGTTGCCTATACGCCGCTATGTCTGAATTTGGCATCCCCTCAAAACTCATACGGCTGTGTAAAATGACGTTGAGCAATACCACCAGCTCCGTCAGAATTGGAAAAGACCTCTCCGAGCCGTTCGCCACAAAACGGGGTTTCAGACAGGGCGACTCCCTTTCATGTGACTTCTTTAACTTGATGTTGGAGACGCTAAAAATTGCTGCAGAACTGAACCACTCAGGAACAATTTACTGCAAGAGCATGCAATTGCTGGCGTATGCAGACGACATCGACATCATCGGTAACAAAAACCGTGAAGTCTGTTCTGCCTTTTCCAAGTTGGATAGGGAAGCAAAGCGAATGGGTCTGGTGGTAAACGAGGACAAGACGAAGTATCTCCTGTCATCAAACAAACAGTCAGCATATTCGCGCCTTGGCACCAACGTCTCTGTTGATAGCTACAATTTCGAGAAAGTAGAGAATTTCGTTTACTTGGGAAGCAGCCGATAATAATGTCAGCATTGAACGCAGAATCACTCTTGCCAACAAGTGCTAGTTTGGACTGAGTAGGCAATTCAGTAGTAAAGACCTCTCTCGACGTACGAAAGCCACGCTCTATAAGTGACTCATCATGCCCGTGGTGGTATATGGAGCAGAAGCATGGACAATGACAACATCCGATGAGGCGGCTCTTGGTGTGTTTGAGAGAAGGATTTTGCGGAAGATTTACGGGCCTTTACGCGTTAGCGGCGGCGAGTTACGCAGACGATGGAACGATGAGCTGTATGAGCTTTACAACGATATGGACATAGTGCAGCGAATTGAAATACAGCGGCTCCGCTGGCTTGGCCATGTCGTTCGAATGGACACCAACGCTCCAGCTCTGAAAGTATTCAACTCGGAACCCGCTGGTGGTAGCAGAGGAAGAGGGAGGCCCCCACTGCGATGGAAAGATCAGGCGGAGAAGGACTTGGCTTCACTTGGCGTTTCCAATTGGCGTCAGTTGGCACAGAGGAGAAACGACTGGTGTGCTTTGCTGAACTCGGCCAAAATCGCTTAGGCGGTTACAGTGCCAAAAAAGAAGAAGAGACGTGGTTGAACGAAAACTTTTTCAGCGAGGAGTACTTTGATACTAACAATTACAACGTCTTTTGCAAGGATAGAAATACTAATTGAACTGGATTCGCTAGAGGCGGGGGGTTCTCATCGCAATTCAATGCAAGCATCACGCTTCTCTTGTAGTACTTGAAAACAAGGATGCGTTGCTCGACCAACTTTGTGTGCACATCCGTGGGAATTCTCATTCTGTTTTTGTTCGTGCTTCGTATATTCCGCCTAGCAGTGGCCACAATATCTACACAGCTCATGTGGACAACGTTCTAGCCTTGGCTTTGAACAAAGTAGGTGAATATCATATTTTCGCCCTGGGTGACTTTTACCTATGTAATGTGAACTGGCCAAAAACTATTGCCAACTCAGCTCTTATAGCATGCGATGTCAATAGTCCAAGTGAAATTTACTTAGTGGATAGCTCTTTAAGTGTCGATATTACGCAAATTAACTCTTTTCAGAATAACCTTGGGCGCACTTAAGATTTGATATTTTTAAGTAAAAGTGTAAATTTTTCTTTGAATGTAATTTATCTATTATAAAATCGGATATGCATTATGTACCTCTAGTTCTCGATCGTGAATTTTATGAATATTCTAAAACTATTAATGTTAATTCAGATTTATCTTTTAATTTTTTGCGATGCGATTTTTTTGAAATTGAATAATCTCTTGTTGAGCATTAGTTGGGACAGCTTGCTCCGTCATCTTAACATTTCTGAGTGTTTTGAGGTTTTTAGAGCCACTGTCGCAGACGTTTGGAAAAGTGTAATTCCTCTGCTAACAAAGAAGCAATATAAAGTACCTTGCACAGTGCGGTCTTGATTAAACTTCGAAATAAGAAAATCAAATTTCGACGTAAATTCAAAAAAAGTCAATATTCTGCTTTTTTCGATTTATATAAAGAATATAATAAAAAATTCGCATGCTTGGATAAACTTTTACACCAATACTATGTCTTAAGTTTTGAAGAAAGTTTAAAATCCAATCCGAAAGCGTTTTGGAACTTTGTTAATGTGAAGAAGTCTACTTTTAATATACCGTCTTCTCTTTTCTTAGGCGACAAGCAGTTAATACTCCAGCAGATGCCGCTAATTTCTTTGCTTAGCTTTTTATGTCGAAGTTCGCATCTCTATCTGATAGTGAAGAAAATGTTTTCTTCGATATACAACCATCTATCGACCTCGGCCAGCTGGTGTTGTCCACCGAAGATGTTTTCAGCGGGATTGCATTGTACAAGCGGTGTGGTTCCTTAGTTAATCTATTGGTGTTAATATTCAACAAATCCCTATCTTCTGGTACTTTTACTGATGCTTGGAATTCATCTCACCTATTTTTAAGAGTGGTACTAAAAACGATATTAGCAACTACAGGCCTATTTCAAAGCTTACCGCCACGGCAACGCTTTTTGAGTGCATCATCCAAAATAAATTGCTTTTCTTTCCAGACCGCTCAACAATATCTAACTTATTGCCCAGTTATGCATACTTAGCGTTGTATGAGAGTTGTCACATAAGAATCTGTTAAATGGACTTTGTGTGTAAGCGGTTACCAAACGCATAGCACTTCACATGTAGAATTCTGTTGGGTTTTGATTTTTAAGTAAAAATGGTATAGCAGTGCAAGTATGCATAACTGGGCTATTAGCTGTCTTCGCAGACGTTTGTATCGCAGCCTTTCAATCAGGGTATCAAGTTGTCACCGTTTATACAGACTTCTCTAAGGCTTTTGATCAGTATTCCTTAGATGGATCGCTTCTTACTGGCACACTCGTCGTTGCATGTTTGTTGTTGACAACGTTAGACCTCTTCCATTTGTTGCTTCTTCTGGGGTACCACAAGGTAGTATTCTGGGCCCGTTGTTTGTTTTGTTTATCAACGACATTTTCTCTTGCTTCGCGTCGGCAAGATTTTTGCTATATGCGGATGACCTTAAGATCAACTCGTTGATCAGAAGCTATCATGACTCTGCATTGATGCAAATCGATTTATATAATGTAACTGGTGTAAAAATATTCGTTTGTTCCTGAACATAAACAAGTGTTTCCATTTGACATTTTCTAAGCGTGCCAACGTTATTGACTCCTATTACCATGTATCTAACTCGCCCCTGGCACGGGTGAGTGAAATTAAAGATTTGGAAGTAATATTTGATTTCAAGCTTGTATTTACAAGCCACATAAATTTTGTTATTGCGAAATCTTACGCCATGCTTGCTTTCGTCAAGCGTCATCGCTCGGATTTCTACGATCCCTATACGCTAAAGCTTTTATATATTGCCCTTGTGCGTTCCAAACTGGAGTATGCCTCCTTCATTTGATCTCCATATTATACGTGCCATGCTACTAGTGAACGGATCCAGAAAGTATTCTTATACTTTGCGTTGCGTAATCTACGCTTCTCGGATTATATCCCCACCTATGAATCACGATGATTATCGATCAACTTAAAATCATTGCAGAACAGAAGGATAACTCTATATTAGTCTTTCGTTTTCGATTTGATCCGCGGTGATATTGACTGTCCGTCCTCCTTGAGAGGAATCTCTTTAATATTTCGGCTAGAGCACTTCGTAGTTCGGAGTTTTTCTATGTTGGTCTTTTTAAAGCTCTTTATGCTCTTTATGAGTTCAATAAGGGCTCGAGTAATAGTGATAGATTTTTCATTTTTCATTTCATTATTGAGTTCAATAGAATCTCTAAATTCATTGTGATAGATTTTTCATTTTCAAAATATCGCTTTTGGAAATCTTTGAATACTTTTCATAAGTAGTATATTTAGTCATAATTTTCGTTTTTTTTAACTCAAGGCGAATTTATATAAGGTGGTGTTACTAGATCAGCTTATTTTGTGTATGTGTTTCGCCTCACGGCTTCTTCCCACCATGCAAAACATGAGAAATAGGCAACAATCGTCAATGGCAACAAATTGGCGACTCACCGATTTATTGCTGTGGTGACAAATCGGCAACATCACTTCGTTCATGTCAATTTGGATAAAAAAAGTTCTCAAAAATTCCGAAACTTATGAATATGGCGTCAATAGTATTGGCCAAAAGCATCTAAATTATGCCCAAGGACAAGATTGAAAAAATAGAAAGTCGCACAGCGAGAAAATGAATTAATTCCGATTGTAAGTTGCAATTTGGTACAAAAAAATAAATGAAGTATTAAAAAGAATAAAATTATTCCAAAAATCGCCTGAAGCGATAAGAAAAGGACTCATTCAGGTAATAAGAAAACGACTCGCCCAGACGAGTTGCCTTCGGCGGACGTTTTAGAGCGACCGGTAATAGGAAATAATATAAATAAATTTGTTTCCGAGGGCGACACGTTTTCTTATTGCTGGCAACACAAATTGTTTGGTGGGTTATGTCAAATTGAAAAATTTTGTTTGTATTTCCACACACACTCTTACAGATTTTGACAGTTTATGCCGCCAAAGCAAAAACAAAATACATGTATGTTTTTGTTACGGTACTCCTGCTATCACCTTATATAAATTCGCCTTGGTTTAACTTGTGCATACATATGTCTACTTAGCCTATAAGAATTTTTTTTATTCATTGGCTTAATAAATAAATAAATAAAAGTAGTGAATAACAATCGTATACAAATCTTACCAGGGGATTGCCTGGAATCCTTGGCAGCTGTACCAGATTGTAAAATATTATTTGCGATGGAATTATCTTCCATATTAGTTAAGCGCCTTCCTGGAGCTGCGGGACAGCTATTTAAATTTAAAGCACAATTTCCATTCACGGTAGGTAAACTTGCTGCCATCGGTGATGTTATATTTTCCTCTTCATTGCGAAGCGCGCTGACAACGCTAGAAACGCTAGAAGAAGATGTGTATGTGTTGCCAATTGCTGTTTGGATTTGCGCTGTCGTAACCACACGGTGTACTGTATACATCGTATGCCCTGACGCTGCCGTAGTAGCCATAGAGACCCTGTCAGAATCTTTTGCGGTTACAGCAGACAAGGAAGAAACTGGTTCGTGGTTGCTACAGGTCTGATTTCCCAAATATTTTGTTTGAGTGGATACTGCAATTAATCGGACCTTTTTTTGAACACAATTAAATGACTCATCTATTTCGTCAATAAGAGCATTCGAACTACGAGCTGATTTGTGTTGAAAGTGCAGTTGGCGTAAAAGATTTTGTATTGCCTGTAGTTGATGCTGGAGTTGTGGTTGTTGACGGAATTAAGAAAGTATTGACCTTCTAACTGCATTGAAGGGGATATCGACGCAAAACCCAGTAGTCCATGGGCACCCGCAGCTAAAATATATTCTTGGCACTTGAACGTGTGGTAATACATATGTACGTGGCCTGGAAATACATTCAACATTAATGAATTACAAAAGCATTAATTATGTTAAAATTTATTTTTATTATTGCCATGTATACATTTGTATACATAGGTTACATTTCCATTATGTATGTATTTCGTCGAAAGTGGTTAACTACAATACGTGTTTGGCAATACTTTGCAGTACACGTAAGCGTAATTAAACAAGACAAAGCGTATAATAATTGTAATGTGACCTTGATACCTTTCTTTTGATACTAAATATTTTTTACTAGATATTTTTCTTCGGTACCGAGCAAGTATCGAAAACACACAATTTATATTACATTTGTCGTTGGCTCGGTAACTTAACAAATGACACCCGTTATTTGAGGTAAGGCGAAATTCTTTTTCCATAAATAGTTGCGTTTCCAAAATTAGCCAACAATCAAAATCAAGAGAGTAAGCGAAAATTCTCTCCCACAGAGATGAAAAAGCAAAAAAGTAAACGAACAGGAAATTAGCCATTACTTGCAAAAACCGGAAGAAGAAGACACACCAGCTGACTCTGTTTATGTTTTATTTGTAAACAAACTGAAATTTATGTTGCCTCCATAGAAGAAAAAAGGAAAGTGAACGTTCAATGTTCGCCAGGAACATTCCTAGAAGTAAAAACTAGTTGGCGCTATCATAAAGTCACATAGCAGGCAGCCAAAAAGCATATAAATACCAAAACTCGGAAAATGCAATTTTGTTTGTTTACAGAAATTGCAACCATATGTTTTGTGATCATATGTTTTCGTGTTGGATAATTTTTGCTGACTAAAATTTTGCCAGTACAAAATGAACGCTTCTCTCGCATCAAAATGAACGCTTGCTCTCTCAATTTTTGTGTGTTGGATAATTTTTTGTCGTTATCGAACGCCATCCAGTAAAAATTTGTTAAACAGTGTAATATTATGTTTGGATTAAAATGGACCAAAATGCTATGTTGTTAATGGTAGCTTTTTAATATGACTTGTTTGCATATTTTATTGCTAAAAGTTAATGTTATGTAATCTAGACCCTTAAAACAATACTTTAACCCTAGAGTACTAACCATGTTTTACATACGTTAGTACTAATGATTCGTCCAAATAAAAGTAAACTGGCGCTTACACAATATGCTAGTGTTTGGCCGAGCTTCGCTTCCGATTTGTGGCGTGCGTCTTGATGTTGTAAAACAGTGCCGGCCACACTAACACCAAAACATTTGCATAAGTGTGTGTGCCAACCGGAGTGCGCGCTTCAACAGTGGATCTAAAAAAAAGTGAACTTGTGACATGGTGAAATCAAAAACAATTTTTTTTCAGATTCTTTTTTTTTATTTGCAATACGAGCGTTTGCCTTGCGTTTGATGTGTATACACTCAGAAAAAACACCATATCTGGAACAAAGAAAACTTTCCTTACTTAAAAAAAAATCTCCCCAATGAGTAATTTTTCTTTGGAATGTGTAAAAACGTACACGAAAATATGGAACCCTGGTGTTCATTTTGGTGTAAGCTATCATTTTGAAGAAATGTTGGGCATGAAAGGAGGATAAGACTGCTTTAGTGCTATTTCGTTCCCCTTTTTCTTCATTTTGATTGCTGTTTTTCTTCAATTAAGAGAAGGTTTTTTGAGTGTACACGTCATCAGAAGTTAACTGGTTAAACCTTCATTTTACATTAAGTAATTTATGTTTATTTCTTTGTCATATAATTTTATTCGCATTAGGTCTTGCAGATGACTATCACTGATGGAATTGCGCCATTGGGTTTGAATAAGTTTCATTTGTGAGAATGCAGCCTCACAGTTGTATGTAGATCCAAACATGCTGTATAGTTTCAAAATTTCAATTATAATTTTTGGGTATTTTTCTGCACTAAGATTTTTCCAAAAAGGTTCTCCACTTCCCAATGGTAAATTGAAATCTAAGCGCATTCTCTGCAATTCACCACGAAGGTCTGGGTTTAGTTGTGAAATTTCGCAGTTTATTGGATCGTTATGAACATCGATTACATTCGAATAATTTTAAAATCTTGGAACCTACTCTGTAAATTTTTTAGGAGTGACTCGGTGACTTCAGCATATTCATTTATTTTTCTACTTCGAAACGGCTGGTTTTGTATTTGGTCAAAAAATTCAGTAGTTCTGAGCAGACAAGAACAATCTCTATTTTTAAGTTGTGTAACTAATATTGATAATTTTCTTTCAAACTGAGTTATGTATAATAAGAGGTCAAAAATATGTTTTTTTTGTCCTTGCATAGCAAGGTTCAACTCATTTATTAAATGTGTTATATCAATTAAAAATGACAGTTCTGAGATAAAATCTTCGTTTCTAATTGCATCTGCAAATTATTTTTCATTATTTTGCTCCAGAATACAGCTTAACCTCTTCCCTCAAAGTAAAAAATCGATCCAAACTTTTGCCGCGACCAAGCCAACGTACCTCTGTGTACATGCATAAGTCCCCATAATCTGCCCCGAGATCTTTCAGAAACTCCCTAAATTGTCTATGGGTTAGCGCGTGGTGAAAAAAATTCACAATTTTCTAAAAGGAGTTTGAGTTCGGATAAAATATAACCGCTTATTTTTTCGGTTCTACGCGTAATGGTCTGTCTGGACAATGGAACAGAATTTAAAATGTCACATATTTTTTTGCCCTCCCCTTCGAAACATGCAATAAACTCTTTCGCAAGAGATTTAAAAAATTCCCCATCTTCATATGGGCGGCATTGTTTTGCTAAAAACAAAGCAATGACAAATGCTGCCTTCTTAATTTCATAATTCCTTTTCCCTCTGTTTTCACCTGGGACATCGTCAAAAAATAATTTATTTTCTGATTCGCTAAACAAATTCAATTTTTCTGAATCGGAAAGGGAAGCTACCTCTTTGTGATAATTAATAAAAAGGCCTTTGTAAAGAAAAAAGCCTTTTCGAAGTGAAAATTCGCTCGCAAAGCAAGCATAGCAGCATATTTTTCTTATTATATGTACAAAAAGTAGCATGGACGTTTACTTTTGAGTTCATTGTTTTTATTTGTAAACATGCGCAACAGTCTTAAGGCTCTGTTATGCATACTTGGCATTGCTTGAGAGTTGTCACATAAGGAATCTGTTAAATGAGCTTCGCGTGTAAGCGGTTACCCAACGCACAGCATTACATACGTAAAAGTCTGTTGGTTTTTGATTTCTACGTAAAAATGGTATAGCAGTGCATGCAATGCCAAGTATGCATAACAGAGCCTTTACGTCTTTAAAAGTTAAACAGCGACTGAGAAGCAAAAGCATAACTTCGTGCTTACTCATCGTTAAGGCTCTGTTATGCATACTTGGCATTGCATGCACTGCTATACCATTTTTACGTAGAAATCAAAAACCAACAGACTTCTACGTATGTAGTGCTGTGCGTTCGATAACCGATTACACGCGAGGCTCATTTAACAGATTTCTTATGTGACAGCTCTCAAGCCATGCCAAGTATGCATAACGGAGCCTTTAGCGTTGGTGTGAAAATACGAAGGCAAACTACACAATGTGCAAGTTTTGGCCGGCTCTGTTGTAAAATAAGGAGGAGGGATCTACAGTTTTGCGCCGACTCCGAACGGCGATTGTATTTTTATGAGAAGCTGTTTTTCATGACTGAATATACTCGGTGGTTTGCCATTGACTGCCGAAGGCGACCACTATTACAAAATACTTTTTGTTGATGTTGTTCGGAAACTGGGCTTGAACCCAGTCCCTGCGGAATGGTAGCGCACACTGCCAACTACTACACCACACCGCAAAGTGGTCCAATCTGCTCTATTAGGGTAATTTAATTATTACATTAAGAACTAAGATTGATATCGGGATGAAATTTTGCACAAATTATGTCTGAATGACTAACAACTTCTGCTCATAAAATGGGCAAGATCGAATAGCGACCACGCCTACCAACCAAATAATTTAAAAATCGTTAAATTTTTCGTCAATTTCTGGTACATTTTTTAAGAACTTGGGCACGGTTATAGATACCAGTCCGTTATGTATATACTGTATTGACGCCGGATCCGAATCAGCCACCTAATCTATATATCTATATATATAAAAATGAAATGTTTTCCGTATGACGGCGATGCCTGACCAAACAGCTTAACCGATTTCAATTCTGTAAAAAGGACTTTTTTGGACCTTTTCTGTAGAAGGTTCTTTGATTTAAAAAAATTTGAAATTTTTTGTTGTTGCCGAAAAATGAAGAAAGCTGAGACGTCACGATTTCACAATTTCATAGAGTTTTCCGTATATTGAATGTCACTAAACTACTAAACGGCTGGACCGATTTCGTTCATATTTGGAAAATATTTCAGCATCTTGAAGGGAAATATTTCGACTAAAAATTTAATCGCTAGGTGGCGCTGGGGTCGGGATATTCATAAAAATNCCGTTATGTATATACTGTATTGACGTCGGATCCGAATCAGCCACCTAATCTATAGTTGCGTTTCCAAAATTAGCCAACAATCAAAATCAAGAGAGTAAGCGAAAATTCTCTCCCACAGAGATGAAAAAGCAAAAAAGTAAACGAACAGCAAATTAGCCATTACTTGCAAAAACCGGAAGAAGAAGACACACCAGCTGACTCTGTTTATGTTTTATTTGTAAACAAACTGAAATTTATGTTGCCTCCATAGAAGAAAAAAGGAAAGTGAACGTTCAATGTTCGCCAGGANTAACCGATTTCAATTCTGTAAAAAGGACTTTTTTGGACCTTTTCTGTAGAAGGTTCTTTGATTTAAAAAAATTTGAAATTTTTTGTTGTTGCCGAAAAATGAAGAAAGCTGAGACGTCACGATTTCACAATTTCATAGAGTTTTC